GCACACACACTCACACACACACACAAACACAAACACACACACACTCACACTCACACACACTCACATACACTCACACACACACACACACTCACATACTCACACTCACACACACACACACACTCACATACTCACACTCACACACACACTCACACACACACACACACTCTCTCACAAACACACAATTTACAATACCTTTCAAAGGTTTAGGGTCAGTATGTGTTTTTTTGTGTGTCTCTTGTGTTCATTAAGGCTTTTTTTTACAATTAAAATACAGTAAAAACAGTAATATTGTGATATATTATTACAATGCACCGGCGTTTATCCGAGGATAGTGAATGGATTCAACAGATTACACACACCTGCAGCGCTTCTGTGAACGGAGAAAACAGAATAAAACTATAGGCTTACATAAAAAGGAATATATGGGCCTGTACACGGAATATAATTCACTTAAATCATTGACAGATTAACAAAACGAAAGAAAAAAAAGTGCTGAGTTACGGTTCATTGCGACGCATTCCAAAGTTCTCGGAAAGGAAACCGAGACGGCAGAAAGTAGTTTTCTTTATTTTGCATAAGCTTTACAGTTTTATTTATTTTACAGTTTTATTTATTTTGCAAAAGCTTGACCGTTTAGAATGATGTCTTGCTTCTATATAACCAACCAGCGTTGGTATGACTATATCGCGCCGGCGCCTCAAGCACACATATTTTTGTGACATTGCAGCCTGTTCATTATAAAAATAAAATACAGTTAAAGAAACGTATAAAAAGTTACAGTGCTCCGTTGCATAGTCAGTTGTGTTCAGCGTGACCACTGCCTCACTGGGCTGATATAGCCGATGTGAAGGATGATGTTTTATGTCAGTACAAAGCCTATAATAAATCATATTTTAGCATCCAGATACGTCACGGATATGGAAACATTTGGATTTGTGCTGAATGAGAGAGATAGGCATCATTTTCACCTTAAATTAATTTGTTTTTGGATTGGCGTTTTTGTCTTAACTTTAGAGGATTTGTTGTGGAGAGAAACTAATAGCTGTGTTTATAATGTTTGTAAACATTTTGCTTTAGCCTACATTATTTCTGATTGTAATAATAAAATGCGACATGAGCCTATACGCGACTTTTTTTTCCCTTCTCAAAATGCAATTTTATACAAGTAGCATTTTTTTTTAACAATGCAGCAAACATTTTTATATATCTTAAAAAACACTTTAATGTCTTTAAAGCGTTACACTTTTTCTTTTGTTTAGTAGCCTACATTTGGCCAAAATCTAGAAAAGATGATACTTAGTGTATTGACTGTGACTAAGCGCAGCAGGTAAAGATACCAGATCTCTTCCTGTTTTTTCTTTTTCTTTTTCTTTTTGAGTAAAGAAAATGCTGTGCATTGTAATTATTATTATTATTATAGGCAAAGAATTAAAAAAATAACGTCATTAGCCGTTTTTTTTCCCTACTCGAACCGCTTTTGGAACGGTAATAATACAGAGGAATGCAGGAACAGAAACGTTAAAATATCGATTTTGAATCGATTCGAAAAAATTTGAATTTTTTTTCGTTCTCAAACCCTGATTTTCAGCATCATTACTCCAGTCTTCAGTGTCACACAATTCTTCAGTTCTTCAGAAATCATTCTAATATTGCAAGAAATATATGTATGTGTGTGTGTGTGTGTGTGTATGTGTGTGTATATATATATTATTTGAAAAAAAATATTTTGTGACATTTATCAATTTAATGCACCCTTGTTCAATAAAAGTATTCATTTCTTTGACCCCCCAAAAAATGTATAAGAACGGTTTAAGCTTGTTTAAAAAACTTTTATTGACGTGTAACACATTCAACAGGTTGAGTTTATGTTGACTGTAAATACTTCTTCAAACATGTTTGTCATTTACAGTGGTGGCCAAAATTATTAGAACAGTTGACAGATCTGAAAATATTGACCTTTTTTGCCTCCAAAACATGATTTCATTTCATAATGTTCATGAAACATGCAGATGGTTGCTCTGAGCACAATATCAATATCAGATGAAGTGAGTCGTACTGTTTTTATCCACTTTTAACTTTAATATTTGGTATGTCCACCTTTTGCAGCATGACAGCAGCACATCTCTCTGGCATAGTGTCAGTATATTTCCTGAGAACTTCAACACTGATGTTATCCCACGCCTTCTGCAGCTCAAGCCAAAGGCTTTCCTTTGAATGTACAGTAGATCTGTTCAGATTATTTTCCAACTCGCCCCAAACTTGCTCGATGGGGTTGAGGTCTGGACTTTGAGGACTTTTCATTTTAATGTTCCAGCAGATTCCTTCTGTCGCAGGTAGTTCCAGCAATAGTTTGTTTTATAGGTATTGTAATGGCCAATTCAACAAAAACAACTGAAACCTCTTAAATGTGCCAAGTGTTCTAACAATTTTGGACACCACTGTATTTGTACAGGAAGTATCCTATGAAAGTGCATAATACTGTAACTGTTGTTTGTATTTTGTGAAGGTCGGATGCATTCCGGAGTTTCGTTGACTACTGCCTACTAAAAATTGCTCAGGACAGACCCTCCTCAGCAGAACTCCTGCGGGTGAGTAATCGCATGCACACAATGTTCACATATGCAGGGGAGATTATCATGCCACATAAAAAGTCACTCATAAGCATTGCTCATCGAAGTTCTAGCACGACTTCTGAGTGCCCACACACTACTGTTAATTAATTCCCAATCTGAGACATGTTCTCAAACACACTTTGTAAACACACTTGCTGGGGGAAGGTGAAGTACTCATGTGATACTCACACATGGATTGTTACGTTTAGGCTTAGAAATGCAAATTTATGCAGCTTAATCTCACGTCTTGAGACTTTTAATAGCATATGGTCCGGTTTACATTACAGCTGATAACGGCAAAGAACTGCAGAATTACGCAGGAAGAGACTGTCTGAGATATAAAGTGGTCAACTAGAGTTTTTATGTGTCGCTTATGAGCAGGTTTATCAGAAATGGATACAGTCATAATAATAGACTTACTTAGCAGTCTTCAAGAGCGGTTGCTTGAAAAGCAACACAAGCTTAATTTCTTGAGTTGCATTTCAGGAATGTGTCATATTCATAAATTGTGCAATTCATAACAAAGCAAGTACACTACAGATGGTTTTTCTTTTTCTTTTTAAAGAAATTAATACTTCTATTTAGCAGTGATGCATTAAAATGATTAAAAGATGATAGTTGAACATTGTGTAAATTACAAATAAATAAATAAATAAAAATAAACGCTGTTCTTTCGAACTTTGTTCAGCAAAGTATTCTGAAAAAATCGTGGTTCATGGTTTCCACAAAAATATTAATCAATGCAACTGTTTTTAACATAGATACTAATAATAAATGTTTCTTGAGCGTTAAATCAGCATATTAGAATGATTTCTGAAGGATCATGGAGGACTGGAGTAAAGATGCTGAAAATGCAGGCCTGCAATCACAGTAATAAGTTTCATTTTAAAATCTATTAAAAAATAAAGCAGTTATTTTAAATTGAGCAGTTATTTTTAAAGATTTTACTGTATTTTATCTAGTGCTGTCAAACGATTAATCGCGATTAATCGCATCCAAAATAAAGTTTTTGTTTGCATAATATATGTGTGTGTACTGTGTATATTTATTATGTATATATAAATACACACACGTACAGTATATATTTTGAAAATGTTTACATGTATTTACATGTCTATATTTATATTCATATATTTATATTATAAATAAATATATTTAATATATAAAAATAACAAAATATATACATGCTTGTGTGTGTATTTAAATATATATGCATAATAAATATACACAGTACACATACATATATTATGTAAACAAAAACTTTTATGGAGGGTTAATAAAAGCAGGAGGAATTTTCGATTGTGCGTGTCTAACGTAACTAATAACCGTGACTTTCTCTCAACTGAATCACTGGGGCTGTAGGTGGACATATTACTGCGCGGTGACTAATGGTCGTGATATCATGCTGTGGTGGGAGGCTTATGGATTTAAATCGTTACCAAAATAAATGAGTGATAGAGTATAGCGGTGCAGTTGGGATATGGGTAATTGTTGGCTGCAGGGAAGCTCTGGATACGTGATCATTAAGGGATAGTGCGACCAGTGTGATTGGTTTGTTTGTTTGTTTGTTTGCGCACTGTATGTGTCTGTTTGTGTGGGTGCATGTTACAGGTTACGGTTGATCTCATTGGTGGATGCAGGTAATCCTGTTTAGTCCTGAGAGCTTAGTGTTGATGCTAGGCACGCACTTTAGATGGGATACGGGCGCCTAGAGGATTTCATCTGATTTTTTTGCAAAAACACCACTAGAAAGTTATATAGTGTATATATATAAATTCTATATATGCTCATGCAACTTCAAAATTCTGAAGCTGAATTTTACTTTAAATAACGCCTACATTTTTTTTCTTGTATTTGTATTTATGTCACCAGTGTCAAAGACAAGTTTCCGCTCTGTGACAAGCAGAATGGACAATAAAGTTAAACTAAACTAAACTAAAGTCGTAATGGAACAGTTAAATTGGCTGAAAATGTGCTCATCCTCAGGCCATTTAAGATGTAGATGAGTTTGTTCTTCATGGGAACAGATTGGGAGAAATGTAGTATTGCATCACTTGCTCACCAATGAATCCTCTGCAGTGAATGGGTGCCGTCAGAATGAGAGTCCAAAAAACATCACAATAATCCACAAGTAATTCACACCACTCCAATCCATCAAATGACATTGTGTGTAGTGAAAATCTGTGTTTGTAAGAAATGTTAACTTTAACCGCCTGAGTAACGTTATACCCACGCGTTCCTAAACCCCAGTACGCCATGCATAATGCGTAAAAACATCAATATCTGCCCTTTCACAGAGATAAAGACGCCCCTGTGCAGTTGGTGAGTGCACTTCCTCTTCGCCATATCTGTCAGTACTTCCTGCTCTCATGACAGCGGCTTCCTCTCTGCTGACTCACACACATACACGTTTTCATATGCACAGCCAAGCGCTCAACCCACAGAGCATGCCTGGATGGATACTGTAAATGGATGGATGGATTCTGTGGATGGATACTGTAGATGGATGGATGGATGGATGGATACTGTAAATGGATGGATGGATTCTGTGGATGGATACTGTAGATGGATGGATGGATGGATGGATACTGTAAATGGATGGATGGATTCTGTGGATGGAATGGATGGATGGATGGATGGATGGATGGATACTGTAAATGGATGGATGGATTCTGTGGATGGATACTGTAGATGGATGGATGGATGGATGAATGGATGGATGGATGGATGGATGGATGGATACTGTAAATGGATGGATGGATTCTGTGGATGAATGAATGGATGGATGAATGGATACTGTAGTGGATAGATCGATAGCATGCAACATTTAAATATGTAATTATCATTGCATTAAATTGTAGTCTAGTGATGTGTTATGCATTAAGCACATGTCTGCAGTTGACTGAAGCTTTGTGTTTGTGTGTTTATCATCCTCTGTGAGCATAGCTGTTTCTCTGTATTTCTGGCTGTAACTCCAGGCGCTCCAGGTCTCGTTGTGCATGTAAAGCGTCCTCTCTGCCGCAGACGGTTACACACGTCTCTCCGGGCGATCTAGTGGCACCTGTTCACCTCCTCTTCAGCCTTTTATCATCCTGTTCTTTCACAACAAAGCCGAAAGACAGCATAATAAAGCCAGTGTGTGTTTGCTTTGAGAGAGAGAAATGCATTTTAGTGTGCAAATGTTTCCTGCCAGTGTCACGGTAAAATTTAAAAGTGTGTTTTATTAAGAGCCGTATTGCAGACCGCAGTGTGTGTGTGTGTGTGTGTGTGTGTGTGTGTGAGGACAGAAGGTTGAAGAGAGAAGAGAGAGTTGTTTGATGGTGTTTTTGCACCTGCTCTCCATTGTGACTGCGTGAAGGACAGTTTCTCCTTTCAGTTTAATACCGTTTCAGTTTCAATGATCAAATTTACCTTCTTAAAGGCCTTGGAAGCACTGGTGTAGTTTGGATTTCAACTTTGAAAGTCATTGCGGAAAAGTATTTAACAGTATATTTAGCACTGCCGGTTTCAGGAGATGTTTATAATAGTAGACAAGTGCACGGTATATGGAAATAGCAAACAGAATATGAATGAAAGGAATTCACAAGAATTGAAAATGTACTCACTCTCAGTTCATCCAAGATGAGTGTGTTTCTTCATCAGATTTGGAGAAACGTAGCAGTGCATCACTTGCTCACCAGTGGATTTGAATGGGTGCCGTCAGAATTAGAGTCCAAACAGCTGATAAAAACATCACAATAATCCACAAGTAATTCACACCACTCCAATCCATCAAATGACATTGTGTGTAGTGAAAATCTGTGTTTGTAAGAAATGTTAACTTTAAACAGTCTCTTCTGGCTAAAATACAAGTCCACAATCCATAATAGCATTGTTTGATTAAGAAACAAACTCATGTACACTACCGCTCAAAAGTTTGGGTCAGTAAGACTGTAATGTTTTTTAAAGAAGTCTCTTCTGCTCATCAAGGCTGCAATTATTTGATCAAAAATACAGAAAAAAACAGTAATCTTGCAAAATGTTATTATAATATAAAATAATGGTTTCTATTTTAATATCCTTTAAAATATAATTTATTTCTGTGATGCAAAGCTGAATTTCCATCATCATTACTCCAGTATAAAGTGTCACATGATCTTCAGAAATCATTCTAATATGCTGATTTATTATTAGAATTATCAATGTTGGCAACAGTTGTGCTGCCAAATATTTTTTTGGAAACTGCAATACTTTTTTCAGTATTCTTTGATGAATAAAGAGTTAAAAAGAAATATATTATATATTCAAAATATAAATATTTTCTAACAATATAAATCTTTGCTATCACTTCTTATCAATTTAACACATCCTTGCTGAATAAAAGTTTTAATTTCTTTCAAAAAAAGAAAGAATAAAAATGTACTGACCCCAAACTTTTGAACGGTAGTGTATATTGTTAGAAAAGATTTCTATTTTAAATAAATGCTCTTCTTTTTAACTTTTTATTCATCAAAGAATCCTGAAAAAAGTATCACGGGTTCCCAAAAAATATTAAGCAGCACAACAGTTTCAACACTGATAATAAATCAGCATATTAGAATGATTTCTGAAGATCATGTGACACTGAAGACTGGAGTAATGATGCTGAAAATTCAGCTTTGTATCACATAAATAAATTAGATTTGAATGTATATTAAAATAGAAAAATTGTATTTTACATCGGAATAATATTTCACAATATTATATTTTTTCCTGTATTTTTTATCAAATAAATGCAGCCTTGATGAACAGAAGAAACTCCTTTAAAAAAACATTAAAAATCGTTCTGATCCCAGACTTTTGAACGGTAGTGTATATTTTGGATGGCCTGCGACTGGGTACATTTTCAGCTAATTTTAAGGTCCCACTTTATATAAAGTGGCCTTAACTACTATGCACTTACATCAAAAGATAAGTACAATGTACTTATTGTGTTCATATTGTGTTGCAAAACACTT